TCCTCCCCCAGCTGAATGCCTTGGGGCTGGTCTGCGACCTGCAGCGTCCCGGCGGCGGATTGGCCCCTCGGTTTAACTCTGGAGGATACGGGGCTCCGCGGGGTTAGGAGGCGGGTCATAGCCCAGCCTCTGTGGGAGCCCCTGCCCTCCCGACTGCCAGGCCGTGAGCGCTTCAGGGAGGAAGCGGACCGCCGGCGGGGTGCTCTGGGCCTCAATTACCACGCCCTCTGCCCCGCACCCCAGTTCCTCTGTGATTCACACTGTACAGTCCATAGAGCAGCGTCACGTCTGTCACCCTGCCTTCCAGCAGCTCTATGAGTAGGTCAGGGATGGGCTTGCCACCTGTTTTTGTAAATAAAGGTTTTTTGGAATACTGTATAGCCAATAGAATGGACATGAGAGTACCTACTACTAGTATAATTGTGGGGAGTTAACAAGTTCATGTGTGTATAGTGCTCCGCACAACCCGTGCCATGTAACTATTAGCTGTTATTAAGATCTGTTCTGGTTCTGAGACTCCAATTTTGGCTGCTCAGTTGTTTGTATGCAAATGATGCTATAACATCTTTTAATATGTGACCTCAGCCAGATCCAGATGTGGGATATTCTACAGGGCAAATGATGTGTTTTTTCTAACAAATCAATGGCATGAAAAAGATGGAGGCAAAGGAGACTTGAAAGATAGCAGTTAAATGCAACGTGTGGCTTTTATTAGGGTCCTGAATTAAGTTAGTTTACTGTCAAAAAAAGACGCCATATTCAGATTTCCCCAAAGACACCTTTGGGGCAATCTGAATTTGGATTGAGTATTAGGTGAAATTAATAAATTGTTTATTTTGTTAGGTGGGATGAAGCATGGTATTTATGTAAACAAAAAAGCCCTTCAACTAGAGATGAATACTGAAGTACTTAGAAGTGAAAAGACATGATGTCTGCTTTTTAGTTCAAAAGATTACAGCCAAAACAAAACAATGAAACAGGCATATATGAAACAACACTGACAAAATGTTGGTAGTTGTTGAAGCTTCATGACAAGTTGGGGAAGATGTTCATCAGACTGTGCTGTATTTTATATATGTCTGGATACTTCCATAATAAATTTTTTTAATGTGTCTTTAAAAATAGGCTGACCATTTTGAGTTTATTCTTGTGTATGGTGTAAGTTGGTGGTGTAGTTTCATCTTTTTGCATGTGTCTGTACAGTTTTCTCAACACTATTTGTTGAAGAGACTGTCTACTCCATTGTATGTTCTTGGCTCCTTTGTCAAATATTAATTGACCATAATGGTGTGGATTGGTTTTGGGGTCTCTGTTCTGATCCATTGGCTTATATGTCTGTTCTTGTGCCAGTACCAGCCTTTGATTACAATGGCTTTGTAGTATAGTTTGATATCCGGTATTGCGATCCATCCAACTTTGTTCTTTCTCAAGATTGCTGTCGCTATTCGTGGTCTATAGATTGCTTTAGGTAGATGGACATTTTAATGATGTTAATTCTTCCAATCCAAGAACATGGTACACACTTCCACTTGTTGGTATTTTCCTCTATTTTTTCCTCCCAACATCCTATAGTTTTTCTAGTTAGGTCTTTTATCTCCTTAGTTAAGTTTATGTGAGAAATGCTCACCTGTCTGAATTCAAATAATGGACTCAGAGATAGAAATATGGTGAAAATAAGACTTTTAATACACTCTCCAGAATGGGTGTCCTATCCGGTTATACAGGCATATTTGGGGCAGCAAACATAGCCCATTTATTCAGTCCCTCCTTCGGTTCTCATTGGCTGAGCACCACAGGGGTAACCTGTTTCCTCATACATCACCTATGTCTTGCTGTCTCCCATTTGGGTCATTTTTAAAAAAAATTGGTCTGAGGCCTTTCTAGCTGCCTCCACCTCCCCCTGTCCAGCTGAGGCAGGCCCCTCAGGTGGTTTCCACTATGACGCTGGCCCATGTGCCCTTTGTTCTGACATCCTCTTTCCTCCTCCCTACATTCTGTTTTCCCTGGGGAAGTTCAGCAAATCCCATCTAAAGCTGACCATACTGGAGATGGATCACAGAGGTCCATTTCCTACAGTTTATTCCTAGGTATCTTTTTTTTTTATGGGATTGTTTTTTTAGTTTCTCTTTCTGAGAGTTCATTAAAGGTATATAAAAATGCCATCAATTTCTAGGTGTTGATTTTATATCCTGCTACTTTACTGAATTCATTTATTAAATCTAGTAGCCCCGAAACACGAATCAGAAAGAATGTATGCACCCCTATGTTCATAGCAGCATTATTTACAGTAGCTAATATTTGGAAATAGCCCAAGTGACCATCAATAGACCAATGGATAAAAAAGTTGTGGTACATTTACAATAGAATACTATGCAGTTGTAAAAAAGAAGGTTCTCTTACCCTTTGAGATAGCATGGATGGACCTAGAAACTATCATGCTAAGTGAAATAAGCCAATCATAGAAAGACAAATATCACATAATCTCACTTATTTGTGGAATCTGATGAACAAAATGAATTGATCAACAAAATAAACCTGAGACATGGAGATATGGAACAGACTGACATATCTCAGGGAGTTGGGTGGACAAGAAGAGATAAACCAAAAAGCTTAATATGCTTACTAGAGGCCTGGTGAACGAAAATTTGTGCACTTAGGAGGGGTCCCTCAGCCCAGTCTGTGCCCTCTCGTAGTTCAAGAACCCTCAGGGGATGTCCACCTGCTGGCTTAGGCTTGCTTCCCGGGGGGATCAGGCCTAAGCTGGCAGTCAGACATCCCTCTGGCAGCCTGGGAGCCCTTGGGAGATGTCCAGCTAACGCTAAGCCATTAGTTGGACATCCTTAGCGCTGCTGTGGAGGCGGGAGAGGCTCCCACCACCGCCGCTGCATTGGCCAGCCATGGGCTGGCTTCTGGCTGAGTGGCGCTCCCCCTGTGGAAGCACACTGACCACCAAGGGGCAGCTCCTGCGTTGAGTGTCTTCCCCCTGTTGGTCAGTGCACGTCATAGTTACCAGTCTTTCCAGGTCATTCCATTGTTAGGGTCAATTTGTATATTACCCTTTTATTATATAGGATATACATAGCCATGGACACAGACAATAGGGTGGTGAAGGCCTAAAGGGGTAGGGGCTGGGCAAAGGGGGAGTAAATGAGGGGGAATGGCGAACATTTGTAATACTGTGAACAATAAAAGTATATATTAAAAAAATAGGCTGACCAGTTTGACTTAATCAAATGAAAACTTTTGGGCATTAAAGAACATTATTAAGAAAATCAAAAGACAAAAAAAAAGTCAAAAGACAGTTCACAGAATGGAATAAAATATTTGCAAATCATATATATGATAAGGGTCTAGTATGCAGAATATATAAAGAACTCCTAACAGCTCAACAACAAAAAGATAACAACCCAGTTAAAAAATGGGCAAATGACTTGAACAGACATTTCTTTAAAGAAGATATACAAATGGCCAACAAGCACATCAAAAGATGTTCATCAGTAGTCATTAGGAAATCCACACTACTGGTAAGATACTACCTCACCTATTAGAATGTCATAAAAACAACAAATCAACAGAAAATAAACGTGAGAGTGTGCAGAAACTGAAACACTCGTGCATTATGGGTGGGAATATGAAATTGTTCAGCCCCTGTAGAGAACAGTTTGACAGCTCCTCACAAAGTTAAACAGAATTACCATATGATCAAGCAATTTCACTTCTAGGAATATACCCAAAAGAATCGAAAGCAGGTACTTAAACAAATACTTGTGCACAAAAGTTCACATATAATCACAGTAACCAAAAGGTGGAAACAACCCAAATGTCCATTATCTGGTGTTTGGATAAATAAATAAAGTATGGTATAATCCA